TTCACTGCGAACAATGAGGCTGCAGTGAATAAGAAACTAACTCCGGATTCTCCGAGTGCGTTGGAGATGACGTTCGGAGAAGCCAGACCTGAAGACAGATTCCTTGGGAGGAAGCTGCGCCATCCAGCGTGTGTCGCGGTGGCCGGAGGAGTGAGTGAGAATGACTAAGAGGAGTGTTGAATGTTGTTGGCAGGAAATCAGAGGCTACGTTGAGTACACCATCTCAGAGTTGAAGGGCTTGGGAAGGTAGAGGACGCATCAGTTTCCTCTAGGAACTGACAAGATATCTTCAGGACCCTTGACGATGATGAAATGGGTGATGATGACGTTTTCGAAGCTCCCGCCGATGAGAACATGATCTTCACTAAACAGGCTGAGATCGACAATTTCCACATCAAGAAGGCGTGGCAGAACAGGTTGCCGGAGTTCTTGAAGTTCTGTCAAAAACAAGTGAGGATCCTCAGCAGACGTTCGGTGTGATCGTCATCTCAGATCGCGAGGAGCTTTCCACAAGTTGGTGTGATTCGTATACGTGTCAGAGAGCCGAATAAGGATCCGGTGGAGAAAGCAGACTTCCAGCGAGTGAGCAGTGGTAAGCTCTTTCCGAGTGGACGTCTATTTTGGACTACTCCAGAATTTCTCAGACTCCTCGGGAAGACTAATTTACGAATATGTTCCCACAAGACTCGACCGTCTACCTCCAGCTTGAAACTTCAACTCTTCAGCATCGATTAGGTTACCAAGCAGACAAATTGTTGTTGTTGTTGTTGTTGTTGTCGTTGTCTTCTTTCGTGTGCTTGCGTGGTAAGTCTTCATGAACGTATCTAGATTGAGAAGTGTTTCATCTGCTCGACAGAGAAGAACTGTCTTTCCGGATGATTTCTGGAAAACCACGTCGTGAGAATAATAATTTCTATCATAGAAACTAAGGTGTGAAACCCTCCTTATATACCGCTGAGTTTCAAAGATCATCGGATCGACTCCGTGATTCGGGTGTACAATCGCTGCTCACTCGGGCACCGAATCAATCTGATCCCCTGAATCTCAATGCAACTGGTTACCCATGCGGTAGAGGATTAGTTGTATTATGGAGAATTGACATTCTATCGCTTCGAGCATGCAATCCATTGAGCTCGTGTGCAGTGCAACCCGAGAAGCAGTCACATCAGCATGTATGATGAGATTGTGTTAACTTCTTCTTGTGTGTATTTATGTAGCTAATGTTCTCTTAGTGTAAACTAGCGCTATGCTCAGTTACTATACTCATGATCGGGGACTTAATGCCTTTAGCGACTCTTAAGTGAGTTGCTGTGCTGGATTCACCGGCTTTCGATAATGAGAAGTGAGAATGTTGTAGTCACTTGAAGACAAAAACACTTCCCCTCTATAGCTGTCTCATAATTCCGATGTAGCTGTGTATCTACCGTCAAGCTGGTATGGTAGTCTTCTTCTATTGAACTACCATGAATGTTCTAAGCTGTTATTAATCTTACGTTCCGCGTGAGATCAGACGGTGTTTCCGGAACACTGTTTCGTTAAGTCGAAGGGTATTGGGAACCGTCACATTGTCTTACTGAGCATAACGCCGAAGCTATCACATCATAACACTAACATCTTGCTCCATTCACCATCACGAATTTAACTGTTACCATTTTCGTGTGTACTTGAGAGAATCCGAATACTGGCGGGTCCAGGGCATGCCGTACTCGATGATGCTACCAGAATGACATTCTGGTTGTCTCCTTTTGGATTTTCCTCGAGGATTGCTGCGGTTCGATCGCGGTAGAACTTCTACCGTAGAAGTTTTACCGAAATTGATATTCCTATGTGCGAAAAAGAAGTAACTTTCGTTTCGAAATCGAAGTTCCCAAACCTCTTTGTCGAAATTGGAGTTCCTAAATCGACGCGCCAACGAAATTGAAGTTCCTACACCGATATGTTGACGAAATTGGAGTTCCATAAACCGCGCACCGTCGGAATTGGAGTTTCAATAGGGGTATCTTGGGGCACGAACTCGCTCGCCTGATCAGAGTGAAGTTTTTAATGTTGAAATCGAGGTTGAAAACGTGCAGTTCTCTCGGTGATCGGTACCGCGGGAAGATGAGCATAGAATACGCATATTGGATATTGCAAGTGTCGTGGAGAAGGTTCTTCTCGACGAGTATGCTTGGTCGCGCCTTGAGAGCCGTCACCACCATCACCAGAAGAGATAGCACTGCTATCATAACAGTACGATGAGGTTGGGAGAAGCCACCACCATGTCACAACTTGATGCGACTGATACTGAATCAGCGGAGGGATAGCAGTACAAAATCCAAGCAAAACAAACAACACATTTTCATTCACCGTCAACTTGACGGTGAATGAAAATCCGTCTACTTGAAGTAGAGTTGATCCGAGCAGGACTATTTTAAATCCTGACGTATAATTCACATCACAAAGGGTAAGTCTGTGCTGATTAACGGGAGCTACTACTGATGGTGAAGGGCGAGAGAATCCGTGCATATAACCTAACCCGACATATAAGAAGAAGAAAAAGGGATAAGTTCAATTCTTGGGTGCATTAATAGCATTTTCATAATAGAAATCTTACCAAAACCAATGTTATTGTCAGACACGGCAGCTACCTTCCTCAATCCGAGCTCCACGGACTAGATGCGGAACAGAGAAGAGCCTTCACAAAGATCGTTGCGGATGCCAGGGCCACACTCGCGAGCGGTGAGGTACCTGAACAAAGATATTTTCACACCACCGGAGATGCCGGAACAGGCAAATCGCACCTACTTGAGGCAATCATCCGCGAAGTGGGGGACGGCACACCTGACCAGGTGATCCTCGCCTGGAATGGTATGCCCGCTAAACAAATCGCTGGTATGACAGTTATGTCATATTTCGCTCTTGGCTTTGATAAAAGCGGAGCTGTTGGTGACAACGCCTATATGCGGTCAACTGCCGAGCTCACGAGACGGATGATCAGACTCTGACTATCCGTCTTCGACACCTCTAACCGTCAGAGGTATCAAAGCGAGTGCTAGGGAGGAGTGTTTGCGGAGGGGAACCGTGTTGTATGTGGATTGAGTCGGGGCTATGCACCACAGTGTGCTGGAGGCTATATCGGAAGCTGTAAAACTCATCCGGAATGGCTTACCGTTGAGCGACATGCCTTTCGGGGGCCTTCCAGTTGTCTTATTGGGAGATCCCTGTCAGCTGGGGAGAGTTGCACTTTTCGAAGGATCATCTGTGTATGATCCGGACACTTATCCCACACGTCCCTTCTGGGAAAGTGCCTCTTGGGCGGAGATGCGTACAGCTGTGATCTGCCTGAGAAGGTCGCCTGGAGAGGGTAACTCTTCGTGAATGGCTGGCGGAGCGCAAGATTATGAAGATATCATCCTTCATGAAGTACCGGAAATGGAAATGCTACACGTCATGAAAGTCGACAGTTTCTCATCAGAGGCGACGAAGATCCATAAGTATCCCTACTCGAGTATACTCGGATCCCTACTCATGCCCACTAGCGCGACGCCTTGAGTTAGCATAGTGTAGGCCCATTCCCGATCGGCTGCATGTCAGTCTATTGCACGAACTA